CCTCTTCAATATCCACCACCAGGCTAACCCATCCCCCCACCCCCTCCCATCTAGAACCCTCAGTTTAAATCTGATCACTATCAATCCTACGTGCACAGGATGAGAGGTTTTAATTACAACTCAGATAAAGAAAATAGCAAGAGAACTCATTCATGGCAGTATAGATGGGCCAAATTCAAAAGTCAGCGTCAAATTCCCATTACACTCACAATACACAACAGCAATTTCTGAATAAAATTCAAAAAAAAACACAAAGTTAAGAAAAGTTAAGTTCCTTTTTTTTTAATAAGCATCGCTATAAAGCAAAAATGCACGTACATCCATAAACTATCTGTCCTGCTTTTAAAATCCAATGAAGTTTAAAATCTACTATTTAAATCCCCAAAATACAGAATTCACAATAATTTACAATAATTCATGGGAAACCTTTATACCTTTGTTAGGGGTACAATCATCATTAGTTCTGGATCTCAACATCAACCAGGGTATCACAACAAAGCGTTAAGAATGTATGCTAATTTTACAATTTAAAGCTGGGGGGCAGGGGAGGAATAACAGCACCTTCCTCATAAGATTTTTATTAGAATCACACCTGACACACAGCTACCACTCAATAAATGTGACTAACAGTTATTATTATATTTTCCATTTCAACAAATACTTTAATTGTTATATCCCCAACACATGTACTAGTGCCAGGAAGTTCATATTTGCTTTAAAAAAAATTCTGTCCTTCATAATGGGGAAGCATCAAGTAATTTTCCCACTTATACTAAATTGAAATTGTACATTTTCAAAATACCTCATCAAATATAGCCACATTAGAGTACTAAAAAAATGAAAAAGGAATTTAAGATATAAATCATTGCCCACTGTAACCTCATGAGGTCCTGAATATTACAGAGCTCCAAAAGAGTATTTGATTCCAATCCACTCTAATGCTAATAAATGTATAAAAACAGATTAAATGCCTTTTCATCTAACTTTAAAGTTAAAATTCTTCCAATATTCACTATAAAAGTCAAAATGCACACAAAATTAATAACGTGTAAGTTATATCAGGCTATATGTATACACCCAGGAAATTCCCACTTCAAATACCCTGTCCACATAAAATAGCTGGTATTGAGACAGAGTGTTTCTTAAATGTTTTTTATCTAAACCCTCCCGGAAAAACTTGTGAATCACTTTTTAAAGATGAACAATTCTTATTTACGGATTACACTAATGTTAAATAATTTGGTCTAAAACTAGTCTTTAAATCAACTAAAATTCTTTGGCATGAAGGCAATGTTTTGTTGTTGGTTATCCATTCATAATTTTAAGTATTTCAGTAGCTAGAACCAGAGAGAAAGTGACAGATCAATCTGTTACAATACCCCCATTCTACCTCAGTAATAAATAGTATAACTGCACCTAAATTTAAAGTTTCGCAATCTGAATTCAGTTATACACTCTGAATGAGCATCAAACAAGCATATGACAGTCACTGGGAAAAAGATTCCCTGAGTCTAAACACTAAGATGCTTATTCAATTTGTTTAAACAAAGATACTGCTAAATTAATGATAAAAGGTACGTGACTAACCTCCAAAATTTAGAATTCATGACAGTAGATACTGTTTATTGTAATATTAGCATTTTCTAGGCAATCAAGTTTTCCTGATAATAGCTAGAGGCCTTATACTTTGAAAATCCACTGCTTAGCCTCATCCTCTCATATAGTATATGTTCAGTAACTACTCAAATTGTACCATCTAATCCTCATACCAACCTTAAGCTACTGCATTATCTTCTTAATACAAAAGAAACCGAGGCTGAAAAGATGGATCCAAGTCAACTGGCACATGGTGGCCTGGCTTAATACCTTGCCCTAAGTCACAAAGCTAGTGGCAGAATCTGATTTCAAAATTTTATTTTTCCAAGTATACCATATCATGCAAATAGCAAACATATAATAATTATAAACTCAATAGTTACTTAATTCTTTTCAAATTATATTCCTTTATTACTGCTTTTCAAGGACAGAAATCCTTAGGAGCTTCAATAGGTCCCTTCAATATTTTTGCAACAGACATTTGATCGAGCATCTATTCCTTACTTCCCAAGAATCCCAGATTTCTGATTTGAGAACTCTATTTGGGGATCTTTGTTGTTCCAACGAAGTCATTGTAGAATATGAGTCCAATCAGGGCACTATTAAAGGTAGCTATATGACCTGAATGAATTGCAGAACTTCTGGAAAAGTTGGGACACGATATAAAATAAGGCAATATGCAGCCCCAAGAGCTGGAAGCAGCCATCTTTGGATGAGAGAAATCTAGGCAACATCATTAAGCCACTGGAAAAAGTCTTACTTAAAAACAGAGAAAAATGCAAACTCATAGACTTTTATAAGGGTGCTTCTCATTTCAATGTTCTTTCACATACTGTTCCCTACTCATGGAATATCCTTTCCCCCTTGTTAATACCTCCCATCTACTGCACAGCTATTATGCACCAGGCATCAAGTGAGACGTTAAACACATGTTATCTCTAATACCAAAAACTAATCTACATCCAAAATCTACAAGGTAAACCTTATCCTCACTATTCATGGATGAGAAAATTCAAACTCAAGGAGACTAAGTGACATTCTCAATACCACACAGCTAATAAGCAGAGCCAGCATTTAGGACCAGGTTTATCTAGCTCACAAGTACTTGTTCTTTCAACAATATGCAGTCAGCCACATGGATCTTGTCTTTAAAGGTCTTTGCTCAGGCATCAGATCTTCTGTGAAGCTTTCTCTACCCATTTACATATTTCAGGGATAGCTCATTTACAGAGAGGAAATATTACAATGTGTCATCACTGTTTACATATTTAAAATGCAGGCTCCTTAAAGATAGGAGGATCCAAGGAACACCAGTCCCTCCCACAATGTATGACATAGGCCAGTCAAGCAATAAACATTTGTAAAATCAGTGAATGGAAATATGAAGCCCTATCTACTACAGATTAAATTCTTTAAAATAAACAATTGTCATTATACTGAAATATCCTCTTATATACAATGTTTCAGAAATGTGAGTTTTAGAAAGAAAAGTGTAAGTATTTCTTGAGCTCATATATTTGCTGCATATACTAAATGTTGCCCTGCGAGACTTAAGAACCACAGAGAAACATCAGAAATTCAAAACAGTAACTTTATACATTTTTTCCAAACCAAGTATTTCATATGTACCAAAAGATCTTGTGTTTAGTAAACAAAGGACATATTTACTATGCACATAATAAAAATCAAATACACTTAAAACACTGGACTCTTGGCTTTTCTAGAACCAAAGTTGCCTAATCCATGTCACTTTATCTGTAAGTGAAAAGTATGAACCAAACTATCTCCTAGATTCCACCCAGCTCTAGGATTCCGCTGTAATTCAATATCACTAATTGTCAACTTCTCAAGAGTGCTTCCCTAACTACAATCTAAAAGTAACCTCTCAAACAAGATCTCTGCTATCATACTATTTTAGTGCATACTTATCCCGGACATTTTTCTCATTTAATTACTTATGTATTATTATCTCCCCTAGTAGAATGTAAGCACCAAAAGAACAGGGATTTTACTGTATTCATCAGCACATCCCAAGGCTTCACAGAGAACACAGTAGACACCCGGTATATGTTTGTTGAGGAAATAACATTCAAAGACTAATAATGCCTTGTTGCCCAACATGAAGAAAAAAAGCAAATCGTGCACTGCTGGGCATGTCCTGCATTTTCCAAATATTTTCTAATACATTATGGTACTTTGCCTCAGTATTAATCTTACAAAGGTTTTTTTTGGGGGGGTAGCCAAATTACTTTACATGAAGGAATGCTACAAATGAAGAACCTAAGTAGATGTTTTGGTGTAACAAAGGTTTTAAGAATATTTAGTGACTACTTTAAATACAAGATAATTAGTACATAAAAAGCAACTTATCAGTTCCAAAATCATCCGCAAACTTTCCAAAGAAAATTTCAGAGTAACAGAGTAACAAGAATCTTATCAAAATAAAGCTTAATGAAGCAAAGAAGAATACAAACCATCCCAATAAGTCAAGACGGTAGTCTCCATTTTTCTGAAGCAATGCTGTCTTCCCATCTCTCCCAATTTCTGTATACAGCCTGATACCGATACTGACAGAGAAATCTTACAGGCACCACCACAAGTACAATGACACAGCTTCTAGTCAGTATCTTATTTCCATTAAAACTTTTCCAAACTCAAGACTCTCTTTGCACCATAAGGCTAAAACCCTACCACCTCACATCTGCTTCTCTTCCTCTCTCGCAATTAAGCCTCTCGAACTTTTCCCTTGGGATTCAAATCTCTGGCATCAAGACATTTTAATCCCGCTACTATTCCTAAGTGCCTGCTTTCTCCCAGTGACCTAGGTACTCTGCACCCGAGGGAAAAAAAAGCCCAGGCTACGCACCCTTGCTCTTTCCCATCCTAGCTTCTCCCCCACCCCCTCTACGGGCGCCCGGCAGGTGCCTCGCTGGGGACCTCTGCGCCCCGGCCGCCGAGAGGCGGGGCACACAAAAGACCCGCACGGCCCTCCCCAGCCTCCCCGGGTCTCTCCCTTACAGCCCCATCGGGTCAGCGCCCTGGAGAGCGGAGGCCCGAGGGAGGCGGCGCCGGCTCCGCGGGGACCAGCGATGCTCGCCCCGGGCGCCCCTTCCTGACCCCACCTTCGCCCACGCCCCACCCACGAAGGCTGCCCCGGGTCGGGACCCTTGCCCGGAAAAAACGAAAGCGCATCCCCAGCCCGGAGGCAGGGGCCGAGCGCATCCCACCCGCGGGCCTCCGCCGCCCCTCCCCGCTCCCCCGCGCCCCAACTGCCGCCCCGGCCCGAGCGGGCGCCCCCGCTTTCCTCCCGCGCCGCCCGGCGCCCCCGCCCCGCCCCGCCGCCCGCTCCCCCGCCCCCCAACCCGGGGGAAGGGCCCACGCCCGCCCGGCCGCCCAGCACTCACAGGCTGCCGGAGCAGGAGGTACAGACGAAGGAGCCGATCGTCATGTTCACGTAGGTGGGGCCGCGCTGGTCGCAGTCGAAGCACTTTCGGTTGTGCGGGAGACCGGTCATGTCCCGCAGCATCTTCAGGTGCTTCTCCTCCTGCTTCCGCTTCGCGCTGGCCGCCATGGCCGCGGCGCCGAGGGAGGAGGCCGGCAGGGCCGGGAGCGGGAGCCGGGCGGCGCTGCGCCGGGGGCCCGCGGTCCCACGGGCCGCCCTGGCCGCGGCCGCCGCCCTCCGTCAGCGCGCGCCGCCCGCGCCGGACCTGGCCGCCTCGGCTCGACTCGACTGCGCTGGGCGCGGCGCGGACGCTGCGGAGCGCGGGCTGACGGGTCACACCAACCGGCCCAGCCCGGACAACCGACGCCGCCTCCGCCTCCGCCGCCGCCGCCACCTTCCCGACTTCTCCTGAGGGGAAAAGAGGAGGAAGGGGGACGGCAAGAGGAGGCCCGCCCTGGGCGGCCGGAGGCCAAGTGTCGGCCGGCGCCCTCTGCTGGCCAGGAGGAGTTAGTTACTGCGGCCGCGCCGAGGCCTGGATTTGGGCGGGGGCAAAGTAGCAAAGATGCAAAGGTGCTGGTGATGATAGACAGTATTTATTAGAGAGCTTATATGTACTAAGCGCATTACCTGACTTAACTTCCTCCCGTACTCAAAACTCTCCAAGGGCTGCCCACTGCTTTGGGGATAATTCTGGGGTTCCTCACTGTGCCTTAAAAGGCGCTCCCTCATCTAACCCCACCTCCCTCTGTGTTCTCTGTCACCATCCTGGTTTCTCACTACATTGGCTTTCCGTTTGTACCCCACACACGACAAGCTCCCTTCTGACCCAGGACCCTTGCCCTGCTGTTCTTTCTCTATTAAGGTTTCTCAATCCTGCCACTATTCACATTTCGGACTTGATAATTTTTTGGTGTGAGGGATATTGCGTTGAGGGATATTGCATGGCATTCCTGGTAGCCTTCATCCACTAGATGCCAGAACCACACCCTCCGTGTGGCAATCAAAAATGCCCACACATTGCCAAATGTGGAGCCAGGGTAGACAAAGATGTAGTCAATTCATTTATGCACGCTTGGCGGGTAAACTTCCTCAATCCAACCAACCTATTTAAATTTGCGACCCACCTTCCTGAAAGTAGCCCTCCATGAAATAGCTGTGTTGGGTTTTCTTCCTAGTTCTAGCTGTTTGAAATCCTGCTTCTGATTTAGTGTTTACTGAGTGTTGTCTGGGATCCCCGGTTAGGCTCCAAACAGCCTGGCCCCAGCATTTTCCTCACTACTCCACTCTCTGCCCCTCCCAGAGCTGGAAGCTAGGTGCTCAGTGTTCGTGGAATGAATACATTCAGTATCTCATTTGATCTTCACAAGATCCCTTTGGGGTAAGCATTACTGTTCTTTCCATCTCACAAATCTGGAAGCTGAAGCTCTGGGGGATTAAGTAAATTTACCGGAGGATACATATGGGAAAACTGAGATTCCAACCCAGACAGTCAGACTGTAGGACACAAATCTCTTCATTGCTCTAAGCGAACCCAGCCAGCAAGATGTTAGAAATCATCCCTGCCCCTCGTTTCCCAGAGGAGTGCAGGGAGACCCAGAGAGCTGAAGTTCCAAAATCACTCAGCTGGCGAAGGGGAAAGTAAGATTAGAACCCACATTTCCTAATTGCCAAGGCCAGCCCTCAGACATCCCTTGAAAGTAACTGGACGAAACGCCCAAATGAGACTTCATGTTAATATAATGCTATCAGTAATAGCTAAATATTACAAGAAAGTGATCAACAGATTTTGGATTGGTCAATGGATTTATTTTTTTTCTATTAAGGGAAATGTCAAACTCCCATGAGACTGTGGCCCATCGTCAATTACCAGCTCATGGCTAATAGGCTTTCTTACCCTCCCCATCCTCCCATCACCCCTCCTATTATTTTGAAGCAGATTCCAGACAGCATATCATTCATCTGCACATGTTAGTTTGCATTGCTAAAATAAATAAATAAGTAAATAAATAAATAGAAGCTTTTTTTTAACTGAACCATGATACCATTAGCACACCTAAAAAATTAACAATAATTCCTTAAAAATCATGAAATATCCCAGCAAGATTTGAAGTTTCTCATTGATGTTTTAAAAAGATACTTATAGTTTATTTTAATTCATACATTGTAGTTGGGTAATATACCGTACTAAAGTGTGTTTCTGCCCTATCTCCTTTTGTAGGAGGAGATAGAGCAAAAAAAATTCCTTTTTGTTTTTTTGGTTTTTTTAGGAACTGGGCCCTTTGCCATGTTGTTTCCCACAGCCTATGTTATTTAACACCCCTACCTTTCTTAAAATTTGTGGCTGGGTCTAGTTCACTTGTTTCCAGTTCAGTTTTTGTTGTTGTTGTTCTTGGCAAAATTTTATTTCCTTGTCTGCTTCCATCAGGCAGCACATGGGGGGAAGGGGAGGGGGGTCCTTTCTATCTTTTTATGATATTAGCAGACATTGATGATTAATATCTAGATTCCTTAATTTATGAAGGGTCACAGAGTGGTGATAACCTAACTCTGTCATTCCTTCTCTGTTTGTCAGCTGAAATATTCCTATAAGGATAAACTTCCCCTCAGCTACTCTCTGGCACAGTTTCTGTCAGAAAGACAGTTTAAATGTTTGATTCCTTTCCTTTATTCACAAATTTTCCAAAATAATATATTGGTTTCCTATCACCTTGCAATGGTGATCAATATGTTTGTCAATGTCACGAGCGCCTCAAGAAATTAAACGTAGTTGATATGTTTCATATCCTTGGTACTCACATTGTCTCATCACTGGCCAGTGAGAGCCTCTTCAAGTTGGCTTCTGAGTCTTTTTGACAAGACCCTTGACTTAAGGTCATCTGGAGTACCCTTACACCAGGGCCCTGGGCTGTTTAGGAGATGACAGCGCTAGAATGTCCAAACCAGGCCTGAACAAAACAGGCTCACTTACCAGCCCCACTCCAGCTAAATATAAGACGCCCAGCAGACTCTTATTCATCACCAACAAACGCACTTAACCCACAGCCAGTGGCTTGCTTCTCTGTGATGCTCCCTTGTCCTGTGTATGTTTTCTGGTTCATCTCTCCATGGTTTGTCATCTGATAAATGCCAAAATCAGAAGGCGTGGCTGTAGCACCTTGTACAAACAGTTTACTACGCGGTTGTTTTATTGTCATGTTGTTTAAAGAAGCAGCAGCGGCATTTCCAGACTATCCATCTGTAGGAAGGTGAATTTCAGGGGAAGTCCAAAATATGTCCTACATGTAAAGCTGAAAGTCCATATGATGGGCCGAGTCTTGGCTTTTTCGTACTCTGTATAATATCACAGCAGGTTTCTACTTTTAAAAATCCCAAGGGAAGTTTGCAGTGTGTCAGGCCAGACCATTTATTTACTGAAATTTGCTTATCCCTCACACCAACGCGCAAGGAGGTATTATTATCCCCACTTTATATAGGAGGAAACTGAGAGTCTGAAATGCTGGTTTGCCCTAGGCTACGCTGGAAATGAAGCAAGAAGCTGGGATTCAAACTCACATCGGGCTGTGCCACCCCAGCTTCTGCTTCCAGTAACTGAATCCTGGCCCTGCTTATGAAGCAGAAATCACCTTCAGAGACCTTAGCGCTGCAGCCAGAGGGATCTTTCAAAATGCTAATGTGATTCAGGCGTCCCCAGTCTCCTCCCCCTGCTTTAAGCCCTTCAGTGACTTCCCATTGCTCTGAGGCTGAAAGAAAATCTGGGAGGCCCAGAAGCCCTTTGAAAGTGGCCTCCTTCCTGCAGACCATGCTAGGCCTCCCCACCCTGCCCCAGCTCCAGCATGCCTCAGGCATGACCCTAAATCTCCACCACCCTGCTCCAGCCCCACTTCCTTCTCTGGTTTTTATATTCTCTTCTGTCCCACCTCAGGACCTTTGTACATGCATTGTTGGTTCCAAAAAGAGACTTCCCTCTCGGGGCGCCTGGGTGGCTCAGTCGTTAAGCGTCTGCCTTCAGCTCAGGTCATGACCCCAGGGTCCTGGGATCGAGTCCCACATCGGGCTCCCCCGCTCAGCGGGAAGCCTGCTTCTCCCTCTCCCACTCCCCCTGCTTGTGTTCCTGCTCTCACTGTCTCTCTCTGTCAAATAAATAAATAAAATATTAAAAAAAAAAAAAAAGAGAGAGAGACTTCCCTCTCTTTCCCTTCTTCTCCCTTAGATCCCGCTCAATATCTGGCTTCAGAGATCCTTCTCTTTCCCTCCCAATTAAGCCAGACCCCATATAGGTGCTCATAGTAGCATGTACCTCTCCTTTGGAGCACTTGCTGCTATGGCTATTTACAATGCTTTGTGATTTTCATTTAGGGTCCCTAGCCCCCCACTACACAGTGGACTTCACTCAGGAGGGACCTAGGTCTGCACCTGCTCACCATTACTCCTCCAGCACTTAGCATGGAGCCTGGCTAAGGGGCTCAGTAAGTATTGGCTGAATGAATAAGTGAAGGCAGCAGTGGGGAGCCAGAGAATAAAGCTTCCTTCAATCTTATGCGGTGGGTTCTGGGTTCTGTATTGTTGTCTCGGCTGTTTTGGCTCCTGGAATGACTACAGCTCTGCCCAAGCTCCTGTAGTGTTGTTAAAGAACTTGCAAATTCTGAAATCAAACCTCTGATGGTAAGAATCTAAAACCTGACTTGCTTAGAGGCTCCCGCCCGTCTTATCGCCAAGGGTGACTCAGAGAAAATGTCCTGAACAAACCGTGGCATTGGGAGAGGCCCCAAGGAGCCAGCAACAGAGCTGCCAACTCATCCTAGGCTACCCCACCCTCAGCGCCTGGAGGCCAAGCCCGGAAAGGAGGCCCTTCTGTGTCTTCCCAGACAACAGAGCAGGACAAGCATTAACAAGTATCAAAGGATCGGTAGAAGTGACTTAATTGCCCAGAGCATCGGAGTGAGGAAAGGAGGGCTCCCCATTGAAGCAGGACTCAAATTTAGACTTAACAGTATTCTCTGGGTTACCCACAGGGTCAAGGGGATCCACCAACAGAATAGAAAGAAGATATTGCCAGACACACGTGCGTGTCCCATGTCCATCCCTGCCACCAGCAGCATGCGACACACCCTGAATTCATACTTTTTTTTTCCAGATTTTTATTTAAATTCTAGTTAGTTAACATATAGTGTAATATTCATTTCAGGAGCAGAGTTCAGTGATTCATCACTTACCTATAACACCCAGTGCTCATTACTACAAGTGTCCTCCTTAATCCCCATCACCCGTTTAGCCGAATTCATACTTTTAATAAATCCTGGATTTACTTTGTGAATAGCACCATTGTCTTGTTTTCTTGGTTGGCTTGGG